CATATAACGTTAATTTGCGGCATTTTCAACTTTTTTTTTGCTCTGTTAAACTTCCGAACTCCTGAGCATCACTTCAACAAATCGGGCTGTCCTGACAAAATGTCATTAAAATTGCTTATGATTTACCTGATAAATTTAGAAAATTCACAATATTTCATTTTTTTTTGGATACAGCCGGGGCGCTTATTCTTTTTTCAATTTCAGATTTTGTTTGTTTTTCAGTCATAGCATTAGCAAAAAAAGCTGATAATATTCCATTTTTTGTTAATGGTTTTTTGAAATGACTCATTTCAATTTCGGATATTGTCAGTTACTTAATCAAGCGTAATTTTAGACCAGCATAGAGGTTGATTTACTAGATTTTGTGCAATAAATTATAAAGAACGTTTTGATATTGGGTAGTTGAGTCAAAAAATTTAGTCAAATGACATAATTTTTTTTAGCTCGACCCAAAAAACTTGTTCAATTATGGGCTGAACATCATGAGTCAAGATGTTTAGTCAATCAGAAAAGTTATCAATTTTTGTTTAGTCCGGAAACTTTCAATTTGATTGAACTTTCGGAACATTTAAGAAAAACTATATTGTTTTAAAAACGGCTGTTGCTCTTCCCTTCACAACAGACAATTTCAACTACAGAAAAACTCGCCATTAAAATGGAGAATCAGTTGGTCCAAATCATGTACAGAATCATGTTAATCTCATGTTAAGGCTTAGATTTTTCTATCTACTATTAAATGAGTAATTTCTTAGTTTCAAATTTTTTTAGTTTTTCCTTCTCACTTAGATTGGAGGTAGCAAATATAAATTGCACAGCAAAGGTCCTGTGATTGAATCTGACCATATCTTGTTATTTGTTTTTTTTTTCAAACGGGAGCCGCTTGGTAAGTTTCGCTCCGATGCTGATTTTGTAATCTATTTGGGCAGTAAACGATTTGTTCCCTATAAGGTTTTGCGGAACAATTTTGGTTGATTTTCAGCTGATTGGCTGTCGGCTTTGATTCTGTCAGCTTTTTTCTTGTTTCTTACAAAATTCCGATATTATTTATGAGATGAATATTACTTGTTCCCAAATTTTTGATTGCTCAAAATCAACCCCATTCAGAAATCAAGTTCTAATCAATATAGTCATAAATTTTTTTGTTTTTTTTTTACTTTTTTGTTTTTTATTCCTTTCTTCAACGGTAAAAACGTTCGAAGTTCTTTGTGATAGTTCTTGAACGTCTTGCTGTTTTAATCTTATACTTGTTGTATCGCAAGGGATGAAAACCTCCACTTCGCTTCTGTGCTACCTCTATTAATCAAATGCTTTTTGTTCTGCAGTTTATGACATATTAGCTTTAAAAAATTTAAAAAAAAAAAAGAATTTAGAATTTAATAGTTTTTATTGCCTGATTTTTAAACTGCTTTGTTAAAAATTGAAACATTCAGAGTTACTAGCACAGAAACCGGCTATCCTAGTTTCAAAATACTGGATTCCCGATTGGATAACAATAATTAGAGGCAAGTTAACGTTTCTTCCATCTATATCGTGAAGGATGGATGCAGATATTAGCTCCATCCGAAAATTAATCACATTTAGCCCAACATTTCATGTTGTGATTCTTCTTAGTGCAATTGTCCAAGTAATTTGCAAAAATAAGCTCAGTGCAAACCCACAGCGTAGTTGTTGGAACCCAGTACCAATTTCGGTTTTGAGGGTTTTAAGCTCGCAGTTTACTTTTAAAATAATAAATATGAAAAGCTCGGAGAAGAGCAAAACGAGATTCATCAAGTTTAATCATATAATTAAAACATCCTACCTGAAAAGGCCTTTCAAGGTAGTGACTAAATTGCTCGTGAAGCCTTGGTTGCGTCAAAGTATACGCTTGATTTTCTACCCAAGGCACTGAATGCGCTTAAATTTGTGGAATAAATTTCCTTATGGTCGCTTAATGGTTC